AGAAAAAGTGAAATATGGTACAAAAGTTCCAACAGTAAGAAAAATTCAGATTTCAGAAACAACAAAGAACAAATTTTTCATACAAGGTTGGAGGGCGAGGCTAAAAGAGAGAAATGGGTTAGCAGCATATAAAGAAACAAATGATGCCCACCTAAAGAACACGCAGAAAAACACAGGCTTTTGGTTGAGAAATTGTTTATTTGACAACAAGACAAGAGGATGAAAAGCAAAGATAACACAGCAACTAGTATTCACGTTTTCGTGATGATAGTGAAATTTAACGGTTAACGTGGACACATAGCATATCAGTATACCTTGTTAGAGTCAGAAGAAAACAAGAAAAGTACAATCTGGACTGCGTTGTTTTGAAGAAAATAAGAAATAAATATATACAAAAAAAAAACCCAAGTTACTTGTAGAATTTGAGCTTGTTGCTTGACTCAAAAATAAAAACATAGAATAAAAGGATCTTCACTTTGTGGTCCTTTTCTGTTTATTTTAACTTTTCTATTTTTTTTTCATTAAATTCCATGTGGAAATTATTAACCAATTATAGAATTTCTTTAAATTTCTTCTCTCTTTTTGATTTACTTGATGAGTTCATTCAATTGATATGTTTTTATCGTCTAAAATGTTGAAAAATCGAATGTTATTAAGTATTTTGCATTAGCTGTACAGAGAATATAAGCTATAATATGATGCCAAACAATTCTTATAATAAAAGAAGTAACAAATCAAAAGAACAATATAAATATATTTCAAATAAATTAAGAGAGCCAATAAAATAATAAAAGTTCAAATTAAATATAAAGAAATATTATGTTGGACTTAAACCAAAATTTAATAATTTATTGGATAACCTTTTTTTGTCTAAAGGGTTAGCTATTCAAAACAAAAAATCAAAACTTGATATTTATGTCAAATTTATAATATCTAAGAAAATAATACACGAGTCCAATGTCATGAAAAATAAAGTTTATTATTATTTAACTTTGTAGTATTATTAATAATACTTAGTATTTATCAAGGTAAATAACCGGTGATTTAATACTTTTTAATAATATATTTTATCTCATCATCATTATTATTATTAATTCATGAATTTTATCGTAGTTTTTCAGAATTTTGTCATTTATTTATATTTAACAACGTGTAACAATATACGTGACATGTTAACAAAGGAAAATACTTTTAAAAAATAATGCCAATTAGCAACAAGAACTCATAACACGTAAAATTAAAAACAAAAAACATGACGATAAGATAATAAAATTTACAAAATAATAATATTTGAAAAATGAAATGTCTAATTAAAGAATAATAATTTAAGCTTAATTTTTATTAAATAAATTTCTATCTAAAGTCCATTCAAACCAAATTAAAATTAGATTAATCCCTTGAGCTATCGGATTACGTGTACTTGTTTCTATATATAAAAAAAACAATAAAGAAAAGAAAATTATATAATTTAACTTTTATGTATGTTAAACTAAATGTATTGCACAAGTCAAAACTTAAAATAGGTACAAATTTCAAAGTTGTTATCATAAAATTAATAAATTTATCCATATCTTGCTATGGATGATAGTAATTATCAATATATAGACTATTTACTTAGTTTATATTTTACTTCTTTTAATAAAAAAAATTCGATACTCAATTAATTAGATCTAGTTTAATTAAAGACCATAAGTGAAATTTCACTAAACAAAAAGTAATATTTATAAAAAAAAAACTGATAGGTTATAAAAGAAATAAAAGTGTTAGAAAACAAATATATTTGAATTGTTTCATTCAAATAAAATTATAAACTTTTTTAATATTTTGAAGTTGAGAAAGAACATACTATAACCCTTTTTGATGAAAAAGTGAGCATTACCCATTAGAATTGGAATTTGGGAGAAAAGGAATTGTATTCGATAGTGAAAGAAGCATTCTTCTTCTTTTTCAATGGGGACACTCAAGAACAAGACAAATGGCCACTTGGCCACCATTTCTTGGAACCTCAATTACCACTTATACAAAAAAAAAGGGTACCCTTTTTTTTTGGGTTAAAAATGGTCCTAAAAAAGCTTAGGTTTCTGTATTATGGAAATAATATTATATTAGAAATACACGTGCTTCATTAAGAAGGTATTAGATTCTCCATAAGAAAATTAATTTTCAATGAAATTGATAAATTTTATATGAATATCCTATTTTGGAGGTGTGATGAAATATATTGTCATCATCGTAATTTCACTCTTTCAATAAATGTATTAAAAACATTACTTTAAAGGTATAAATTAAGAATAAAATAATTGGTATTACACTGAAAATAATTGGTATACACTCTTTGAACTATGTTACTATATGCTTGGGATGTCCAGCTTCCGTCAACCCTATTACCTCAACCATGATGTGTAGAAGATGTGCATCCATGTCCTTTGTCTACTTTATGAACTCTCTAGTAGGACCAGAGGACTCAATGACTACTCCCTTACCTCGGTTCATTTTAAACCTAATTGATAAACAATATGGTAAGAAGTTAACATTAATCAGACATAAAAGGAAGTTATTGTCATATTCAAATAAAATAGTCATACAACACAATAAAATAAAATAACTACGAGTTTTGATAATCTCGCCACATTTGATCTGCTACGGAATCTCTTATACTACTACCAATCCTATGATCCTCTTCTCTAACTTGAGATGATGAAACATTGTGGTCTTGCCTTTCATTCAACTCATTATCAACTTCTTCAAGTAATGAGTCATCGTTATCCACGCCACGAAGGAAGTTGTATAAGATACAACAAACTAATATAATGTCTGTCATTGTCTCCAATCCATAGTATGGTTCAATGCTGCTTGCAATGATAGGGAATCGTTTTTCCAACACACCAAAAGTTCTTTCAATAACATTTCTCAACGATGAATGTCGATGATTGAACAACTCGCGTGGATTTTGTGGTCCTCTAGTGTATATTCTTTAAGGTGATATATGACGCCTATATATGGAGTTAAAACTGTGTTTTTCAACATAAATCCAGCATCACCGAGGTAGTATCATAACACCCACTTTTTTCAAATTGGCTTTTAGAAAGAACTTAATTATCAACTACTTCTTTGTATTATATGTATATAGCTGCATGTAAATTATTATAAAACAATAATTAGAAAAAGTTAGTTGTAAGAGGGCAAAGAAAACGAAAACAAGAATAACATATTTGCAGAATTAGAAATTGTATTATCATCTAAGACAAACATAATCTCTTGATACCGATGAATTTATAATAGTAATACAAAATTTTCCCTTGAATATATGTAGGCCCTGCACTGCCACCTCAAAAGCAACGCCGATTAGAAGAGTATCCATGAAATACCTCTTTATGTTAACCTTCAATATAAGTCAAATCAATCACCATTCCAACACATCCAATGTTAAATTTAAACATAAAACGTAATGTCACATTGAATCATGAATCGCCAGGCTTTGCAACGGTGGCGACAGGTACCGAGCACGGACGTCGACCCACAAGGCGTAAACGACGAGCATGCCCAGGACATTGCTGGGACCGGGGCGCCTAAAATGCGACCCCTTGAAATATGCGACGAGCTCGAACCCCAAGAGCACAATCACCACCACGAGGAAGACGCGAATCGTGTGGTAGAGTCGTGACGAGTCGCCCCACAGTGATGCTGAGTCCGCGATCCGGCGGTGCGCCGTGCGGGCGAGGTGGAAGATGTCGTCGTAGAGCCAAACAAGCGAGGCGGGGAACTACTGGCATTTAAGAAGGCATACCCAGGAGAGCTGGCGGGCGCTCCGGGAGCGTTCTTTTTTGTATGCGACGGAGGAGTCAAGGTCGAGGGCGGTGAAGGGAGGCGGAGAGTCGAAGTGGGAGTTGTTGAGGAGGCGAGGGAGAGGGAGGGAGCGAAGGCGTTGGATTTCGGTGAGAGTTTATGATATTTTGGGCTAGGGGGCTAACCCAGCCCTAATTCATTCACAGCCCCCATCTGATGCGGCTTTGGGGCTAGGGGCTTTAAAAAGGGTGTTGCTCCCTTCACCACCCCAAGAACTTCCTACACCTCCCCATTATTTTTTTAATTCTAAAAATACCCTACTCTTTCCCATTATTTGTTTAATTCCAAAAATACCCTACACCTCCCGTTTATCTTATTGCAACGACTTTACTTAGCCTATAACATCAGAAATGTCTAAAATCAAACATTGTAGTGCAAAAGTTATGCAGATGGGGTGATAATGTTGTGCTAGCAGATAGACACTGTGATACAAAAATGTGGGACATGTGATTCTCACCTACTAACATTATTTCTCATTTATAACAATGGTTGGATACTGGAAACAATGGTTGCTGACTCACTAACATGTGAATGCCACTTTTTGTGCTTGTTTCTGTTTATGAAGGATACCTTTTTGTTAATTAGTAAACCCCAAGATTTTTCCTTTCTTAAAAAAAGAAAACAAGTGTAACGCATTTAGATCTTTGGTTATGATGCCCATAAACAGCTGACAGTTTGATATATAATGCAAATATATATACATTCGTTTGTTCATTAAACTGTTGATATCCGTGCACGAATATTGACATTCGTTTAAATATTATTAAAGGATAGAAAAGTAACAAAGAGGTACACGTACCACAAAGTGGTGGTGGAGGAACTGACACTCCTTTAAATAAAACCCTTAAGATGTGGATCAATAAAAATAGACTAAGTATAAATGTGGCCAGAGTCAACCTCAGGGCTTAGATAAAAACTGACAGCTCTATTCCTAGGATCACTGAGTGCACACCCATATTTTTTACCTTATTTTATTTTAAAGGTGGTTCTTCCTTTCTTCAATATTTACTTTAAAATTATAGATTAATGATATTGTGATCTTTTTGTCTTTACCAGAGAGGACAGTATTAATTATGAGGTGCAGGGAGTAAAGGCTTATTCCTAATTGGACCAATCCAGTAGCCGGTATTTGTTTCTCCAAAAAAGAATCCATAGGGGGCAATGTGGTAAATGCACATTCGAAGTTGAAACCGTCAGGGTCATTGTAGTCGCGGTGGTGCGAAAATAGCGCGCGAGAGCACCTATTCCTAACGAAATCCTTCGTAGAACCAACTGCTTGTTCTTCTCGTTCTTGAGGTTCTTTCACTCCACCATACTCATTCCTTTGCTCCTCGATTCGAAACCTAGAACAACGATGTGGAAGTGGTTGTTCTCGAGAGAATCCAAGCCGCCGCCGCCGGTGGTGCTGGTCCCTCCGCTCTTCGACTTCCCTCCCATCGCCGCGCGTAACCGCATGCTTCACTCCGCCTACGATGTCGCTTTTGGCAAGATCGCCCTCGCCTCGCTCTTCCAAGACTATTTCCACCAGGCCAGGCACTTCACCACGCGACTAATGCTCAAACCAATCGATGATCCTCACGTCGATCTCATAGCCACTGTATCTTCTCCTGTCTTCTCTCCCACCTCTCTTTAGTTTCAGAAACTTGCGTAGTACGGAAACTGAAAAAAAAAAACTTGTTTATTATCTATTGCTGTGACATGTTTAGGTTACAGGTCCTCTCGATCGTAAGCCCAACGACAGCATCATGGGAGATGCGTTGTTTCGCTGGCAAAGGTTTTCTTCTCTAAATTGTCACAGTCGCAGTTTTGTTGCATTTCTTTACATTGTGGGAAACAGCGGACAAATGTTGTTTCGTGGCGTTCCTTAATATTGTGTATAAATGCAACTTATGTCACTATAATTACTCGTAGATTTTGGATAAGTTTTACTTAGCCTTACAAGATGAAATTGATCCTCATATAAGAATAAAATTATCCTCATATATATAACTTCACTAGAACATAAATGTATATACTTCCTTCGTGTGCTAAGGACAGGACATATGGAGCACAGGACTAATATGTCCAATAAACTTCATTAGATCATATTACGATACTATTTCTGCAAACTTCAAGATGTCTCATCCATGACATAAATGACCTAAAGGAGTGTGTTGGAAGTTTTATATGGATTAATGATAGGTAATTCTCATCTTACGCTGGTTTTGTAGAATTGAAATCTACTTTAAGAGAATTACATTGATGACACTTTAAAAACCTTGCTGTTGTGGTTGAATTGGATTTCTGGGACCATTTTTAAAACCTTGTTTGTTTGGATTTTTTTTGTTGTCTTCCTATTCTGCAATCTGTTGAGTAACTTGAATTGTTTGTGGTTTTTGTTGAGTGTGCAGTGATGTTAACGATCCTCATACGTTTATGGACCTTTATGTATCCACATCTGACCCGTAAGTAACTCTAACTTGAACGAATTCTGAGGATCTGTTTAGGAAATGGAAGTAAAACAAATGTGTTTTTTTTCACTTCAAACATGAGACTGAGTTTTTTAGAATGAAAGGAATAAGGAAATTATTTTTAATGAAGGACAATACTCAGATTGAGTTGGTTAATTTATTTTTGGCATTGCTGTCCAATGAGAATTGGGGATTTAGCTCTGTAACTAATAGTACACTGAAGGTCGATACTTAAGGTCAGCATCGGGTACTGAGGTGAAACTTCAATTTTCATTGAAGAATAATATTTAAATTCATTTAAAGAACTACAACTATCTTATAATAAAACTTTCAAATAATTCCTTATTCATTTTTGTGAATATGAATACTATATGTAGAAATAGTAATTATTCTTCTGGGCACTCTCTTATGATTAGGTGAATGAAATATGGATCCCACTAAATAGGGTGTGGATCAAGGTTATTTGGTGGGGGTGAAACGAAATCTAGTAATAGAGCATGTATTGAAAGTTTTACTAGCATTTACACTCCCTTCTCTTTCCCTGGCGTCCTTGATCCTAAAATGCACAATGCATCTATTTGGAATTATGAATGTTGTGTGGTCTGTATATTCAGGATTTTGCAGATGAGATCGTGTGCTTTCTATTCCAAATATGGATTTGGGGCTTTCGGAGTGTTCCCTTTACTGTTGAAGAAAAGGTGTGTTTTTGTTTGATGATGGTGGCAGAAACAGGTGTTAGGTACTTAGGATCTTATTGTAGCATGCACGTCTGACATGGATTGCAATATACAATGTTGACAAAGTTAATCAATTCTACAGAGAAAGCTCCCAAGATTATGGCCTGATGGGGTTGAGATATGGTTCTGGAAATCTATCCTTTGGAGTCACACTTATGCCTTTTGCCTGTAGGTCCCTGGTTTTTGCCAATGACCTTTGACCATATTTAGGGTGCGAATGAATAAGTTTTGAATAAAAGTGCTTGTATGATATAATTCTTTTACATATTCTTTTTTTTAATAAGCTACACTTTCTAGCTTCTAAGAACTAATAAAATTGATTTTTTTCCTTCTTTTTTCAAAAGCCGACCATCTTCTTATATTTTTCTAAACATGTTTTTAATTAGGATCTTGTCAACCAGTGCTCTCTATAGACTAATTAAGGTTTCAATAAGAAGCAGTTTTTATAGGAAAGCACGGTAATAAAAACTTTCTACTTTTGACATCCTTAATTAGTTAGACTGGTTAGCATCCTTCTTATTTATTATATATGAATTAAATATATGAGATTTATATATAGGTAGTGCCTTTTCATCTGGCATTTGAAGTTTTAATTGTTTTTCCATGATCACTAAATTTTACATTTTGTTTTATATTTTTTCAAATATTGATTTATGATCACTTGGAGAAACAATAGAAATAAACTTTGCCGTGTTACTGTCATACATTGCAGTGAAAGACGAATTACCAAAAAGTGCATGGTTGGTAAGCAAGATGGGAAGGGTGACTGCTGGGGTGCAGTTTGAACCGCAAAGTAAGAACTACACATATTTTATTCCTTTAGAAATATTTCTTTATGTGTTGATTTTTTCTTATTAAAATTACTACATCACTGGGTTTTTAAATTAATTTTTAATTTTTTGGTTTCTCTATGGCATGTATATTGAACTATGGTTACCTTTCTGGCAGTTAGTGTCATGCTGTTTTGAACTTGATTTTCATTGAATATATTGACCTAAAGATGTTTGCTTTTGTATTTTGTAAGTAAAATGATAGGCCAAAGTTGAAAAGTACTATCTTGCATTCACCAGAAAGTTGACATTGTTGCATCAATCATCTAGTCAGTATGTTAATTTATTAATGTTGAGCGTTTGCATTATATTTAGATTTTATAATGGAACCTGCGCAATACCTGAATTGTGTGTTTACCTCCAAGTGTATGTGTATTTGCACATGCATGTACAGTTCCAACTACATCCATGAAAGGTGGAGCAATGGACAGAGTGAAAAAGATCTAAGCACTTATAATTGGTCACAGTAGAGCAACGACAGTTAGGGGCAGTTAGAGTGGTTAGTTAGTTGAAGGGGGTCAATTGGATAAATATGGAGAATAAAGATGGAAGGATTCACTCAAACAATTAGACATTTGTATGAAAAAGAAACTTGCGAAGAAAGATTCTTTCACCTGGTGTTGGATTCAATAAAATTGTTTGCATATATGCTTTTTCTTTTCTGTCAATTTCTCTTTTTTCTTCCTGCATTTGTAATAGGATTGGAGAACTTGAATTCGTGCTTTATTAAATTTTAGTTTTAGTAATTTGGTTTTTATTGATGAACCCAAACAATCCCAAAATCCCGAACTCTAGAAACATATTTATCTAAATTGTATTAATTTGAATGCGATAAGGATATGAATACATGCATACTAACCTGTGTTCTATTTTAGAACGAAATGCCAAGCTTTCAAATTTAACGAACTGGAGTTGTGCTTTGGGCTATGGTGTTGGATCAGGCAGCCCATTGTGTCCATCCTTCAATTTCAACCTCGAGCTTGTCAAAAGCTCTCAGGTTTGTCCACATACATAAATTGGTTATGTTTTGGCATTTAATTAATTCTTATGCTAATGTCATTTGATGGTAATATAATAGTTTGACATATTAAAATGGAAAGTTTTGTGACTTGTAAGAAATTGATGTTTAAAAATTTCCCTAATCATTAGTAACTTAGCATAAGTCTTAATTTTTGTTCTAAACCGCTTATATTAAATGCACCTTAGCATTTGTTTGTCCTAACCTATGATTTGTGTAGTTCTGATTGATATTTTGAGAAGCATTTGTACTGAAATTTCAAAGTCTAAATAATCTGCAGTTTATTGCCTCATTCTATCAACACATGGTTGTTCAAAGAAGGGTATGTTCTTCTGTCTTTGCTCTCTTTCATTCCATTATCTTCTGAGTGGTTCTCTGTCTTCATATTAGTGTCTCATTTTTCATTTTTGCAAACATGGTGATGTCTAGATTTATGGAAGTTAGTCGCATCTCTTAAAATTAAATTACATACTAATGGGTTTTCCTTGGTTTTCTAAAAAAGCTGTACATGTATCTGATCTTTTTAGTGCCGTACATGTAATTAATTTTCCCTTTTTCTTTACTAGTTTTCAAGAGTGAACGGTTAGCCTTGGGATACCAACAGTACTTAAGTTTTCTTAAGTTTCTGAGTTGAGGTCACTGCATGAAAAGTTTTTTGAATCAGAAGCTTCTTTACTCAAGACCTGGGCCTATTTTTAGTTATATTTAGGATACATTTTCCTTGTGATTAGATACTGTAATGCTTATAGAATTCCATTATTACTTATTTATTCTTGTTAAAATTTACCCTCACTCGAGTTTTCTTTTGGAGTTGTAGTAAACTGGCTGATATAGTTTCTTGTTAAATCAATATATTATACTGAAAGTCATAAGCATGATTTGAACAGGTGAAGAACCCTCTTGAAGAGAATTCTGTTGTTGGAATTACAAACTACCTTGACTTTGGGTTTGAGTTACTTACAAGGTATTCTTTTTAGCTCTAAACAGATATATTCAAACTTATTGCAGTCGAACCAATGTGGTACAATCTAATTTTCTGTGTCAGTGTTGATGAAGCCATAGCAGCAAACAATATCTCAGACGCCAGCTTTCAAATAGGTGCATCCTGGCAGGCTAATAAAAATTTCTTGCTGAAGGTAGAAAACAGATGCAATGTTAAGCAGATTTATATAGATTATATATGATGCATCTAAGTGGATTATTTCTCATCTTTTCAGGCAAAGGTTGGACCTCGTAGCTCATCTATGGCACTTGCATTCAAGTCATGGTGGAAACCTTCCTTCACTCTCAGTATTTCAGGTGTCTTGACTGATTGTTCTACTCAATCTTGCTTCAGTTCTTTATCCTGCTCCTTTCTTTAGTGCTACCGGGACTTTGTGTGTATTATGAGGCCAACACCTATGTAGTCATGATATGATGATCAAGGGTCAACACCAATATCTAGCATAAAAATTAAGTTTTATATCATGATTCTGCTTTTTTAGTTTTGGTCACCGAAAGTTCTAGTCCTACTTCAGCCCCTGTCCCATATTAAAGTATCAAGTTCGTTAGATGGCCTGTTTCCCACTGCAAGATTTGTTTATGTGATGTATTATTTTTTGGATGACTAGTGAGTACTACCTCTGTAATATCATTTTTTAGGTATCTGCATGCTAGGGTTGTCAAAACGAGCAGCTTGACCCAGCTCTAGGGCCAACTAAATAAATTTAATAATCCAACCTAACTGTTAGAATATTTACCCTATTTATCATGATTATATTGTGTCTAGGATTACCTTATTTATCATGATTATAGTGTCTAAGGTTATCCTATTTATCATGATTACATTGTGTCTAGAGTTACCTTATTTATCATGATTATATTGTGTCTAGAATTACCTTATTTATCATGTTGTATCTAATAAGGTTACCCTAATTATCATGTACTCTTGTATCAATTTATTTTTATAAATAGAAGATTATGAGAGGGATCAATTAAGCCCTCAAGAATTATTTCTTTTCAATCTCAAGTNTTCCCATTATTTGTTTAATTCCAAAAATACCCTACACCTCCCGTTTATCTTATTGCAACGACTTTACTTAGCCTATAACATCAGAAATGTCTAAAATCAAACATTGTAGTGCAAAAGTTATGCAGATGGGGTGATAATGTTGTGCTAGCAGATAGACACTGTGATACAAAAATGTGGGACATGTGATTCTCACCTACTAACATTATTTCTCATTTATAACAATGGTTGGATACTGGAAACAATGGTTGCTGACTCACTAACATGTGAATGCCACTTTTTGTGCTTGTTTCTGTTTATGAAGGATACCTTTTTGTTAATTAGTAAACCCCAAGATTTTTCCTTTCTTAAAAAAAGAAAACAAGTGTAACGCATTTAGATCTTTGGTTATGATGCCCATAAACAGCTGACAGTTTGATATATAATGCAAATATATATACATTCGTTTGTTCATTAAACTGTTGATATCCGTGCACGAATATTGACATTCGTTTAAATATTATTAAAGGATAGAAAAGTAACAAAGAGGTACACGTACCACAAAGTGGTGGTGGAGGAACTGACACTCCTTTAAATAAAACCCTTAAGATGTGGATCAATAAAAATAGACTAAGTATAAATGTGGCCAGAGTCAACCTCAGGGCTTAGATAAAAACTGACAGCTCTATTCCTAGGATCACTGAGTGCACACCCATATTTTTTACCTTATTTTATTTTAAAGGTGGTTCTTCCTTTCTTCAATATTTACTTTAAAATTATAGATTAATGATATTGTGATCTTTTTGTCTTTACCAGAGAGGACAGTATTAATTATGAGGTGCAGGGAGTAAAGGCTTATTCCTAATTGGACCAATCCAGTAGCCGGTATTTGTTTCTCCAAAAAAGAATCCATAGGGGGCAATGTGGTAAATGCACATTCGAAGTTGAAACCGTCAGGGTCATTGTAGTCGCGGTGGTGCGAAAATAGCGCGCGAGAGCACCTATTCCTAACGAAATCCTTCGTAGAACCAACTGCTTGTTCTTCTCGTTCTTGAGGTTCTTTCACTCCACCATACTCATTCCTTTGCTCCTCGATTCGAAACCTAGAACAACGATGTGGAAGTGGTTGTTCTCGAGAGAATCCAAGCCGCCGCCGCCGGTGGTGCTGGTCCCTCCGCTCTTCGACTTCCCTCCCATCGCCGCGCGTAACCGCATGCTTCACTCCGCCTACGATGTCGCTTTTGGCAAGATCGCCCTCGCCTCGCTCTTCCAAGACTATTTCCACCAGGCCAGGCACTTCACCACGCGACTAATGCTCAAACCAATCGATGATCCTCACGTCGATCTCATAGCCACTGTATCTTCTCCTGTCTTCTCTCCCACCTCTCTTTAGTTTCAGAAACTTGCGTAGTACGGAAACTGAAAAAAAAAAACTTGTTTATTATCTATTGCTGTGACATGTTTAGGTTACAGGTCCTCTCGATCGTAAGCCCAACGACAGCATCATGGGAGATGCGTTGTTTCGCTGGCAAAGGTTTTCTTCTCTAAATTGTCACAGTCGCAGTTTTGTTGCATTTCTTTACATTGTGGGAAACAGCGGACAAATGTTGTTTCGTGGCGTTCCTTAATATTGTGTATAAATGCAACTTATGTCACTATAATTACTCGTAGATTTTGGATAAGTTTTACTTAGCCTTACAAGATGAAATTGATCCTCATATAAGAATAAAATTATCCTCATATATATAACTTCACTAGAACATAAATGTATATACTTCCTTCGTGTGCTAAGGACAGGACATATGGAGCACAGGACTAATATGTCCAATAAACTTCATTAGATCATATTACGATACTATTTCTGCAAACTTCAAGATGTCTCATCCATGACATAAATGACCTAAAGGAGTGTGTTGGAAGTTTTATATGGATTAATGATAGGTAATTCTCATCTTACGCTGGTTTTGTAGAATTGAAATCTACTTTAAGAGAATTACATTGATGACACTTTAAAAACCTTGCTGTTGTGGTTGAATTGGATTTCTGGGACCATTTTTAAAACCTTGTTTGTTTGGATTTTTTTTGTTGTCTTCCTATTCTGCAATCTGTTGAGTAACTTGAATTGTTTGTGGTTTTTGTTGAGTGTGCAGTGATGTTAACGATCCTCATACGTTTATGGACCTTTATGTATCCACATCTGACCCGTAAGTAACTCTAACTTGAACGAATTCTGAGGATCTGTTTAGGAAATGGAAGTAAAACAAATGTGTTTTTTTTCACTTCAAACATGAGACTGAGTTTTTTAGAATGAAAGGAATAAGGAAATTATTTTTAATGAAGGACAATACTCAGATTGAGTTGGTTAATTTATTTTTGGCATTGCTGTCCAATGAGAATTGGGGATTTAGCTCTGTAACTAATAGTACACTGAAGGTCGATACTTAAGGTCAGCATCGGGTACTGAGGTGAAACTTCAATTTTCATTGAAGAATAATATTTAAATTCATTTAAAGAACTACAACTATCTTATAATAAAACTTTCAAATAATTCCTTATTCATTTTTGTGAATATGAATACTATATGTAGAAATAGTAATTATTCTTCTGGGCACTCTCTTATGATTAGGTGAATGAAATATGGATCCCACTAAATAGGGTGTGGATCAAGGTTATTTGGTGGGGGTGAAACGAAATCTAGTAATAGAGCATGTATTGAAAGTTTTACTAGCATTTACACTCCCTTCTCTTTCCCTGGCGTCCTTGATCCTAAAATGCACAATGCATCTATTTGGAATTATGAATGTTGTGTGGTCTGTATATTCAGGATTTTGCAGATGAGATCGTGTGCTTTCTATTCCAAATATGGATTTGGGGCTTTCGGAGTGTTCCCTTTACTGTTGAAGAAAAGGTGTGTTTTTGTTTGATGATGGTGGCAGAAACAGGTGTTAGGTACTTAGGATCTTATTGTAGCATGCACGTCTGACATGGATTGCAATATACAATGTTGACAAAGTTAATCAATTCTACAGAGAAAGCTCCCAAGATTATGGCCTGATGGGGTTGAGATATGGTTCTGGAAATCTATCCTTTGGAGTCACACTTATGCCTTTTGCCTGTAGGTCCCTGGTTTTTGCCAATGACCTTTGACCATATTTAGGGTGCGAATGAATAAGTTTTGAATAAAAGTGCTTGTATGATATAATTCTTTTACATATTCTTTTTTTTAATAAGCTACACTTTCTAGCTTCTAAGAACTAATAAAATTGATTTTTTTCCTTCTTTTTTCAAAAGCCGACCATCTTCTTATATTTTTCTAAACATGTTTTTAATTAGGATCTTGTCAACCAGTGCTCTCTATAGACTAATTAAGGTTTCAATAAGAAGCAGTTTTTATAGGAAAGCACGGTAATAAAAACTTTCTACTTTTGACATCCTTAATTAGTTAGACTGGTTAGCATCCTTCTTATTTATTATATATGAATTAAATATATGAGATTTATATATAGGTAGTGCCTTTTCATCTGGCATTTGAAGTTTTAATTGTTTTTCCATGATCACTAAATTTTACATTTTGTTTTATATTTTTTCAAATATTGATTTATGATCACTTGGAGAAACAATAGAAATAAACTTTGCCGTGTTACTGTCATACATTGCAGTGAAAGACGAATTACCAAAAAGTGCATGGTTGGTAAGCAAGATGGGAAGGGTGACTGCTGGGGTGCAGTTTGAACCGCAAAGTAAGAACTACACATATTTTATTCCTTTAGAAATATTTCTTTATGTGTTGATTTTTTCTTATTAAAATTACTACATCACTGGGTTTTTAAATTAATTTTTAATTTTTTGGTTTCTCTATGGCATGTATATTGAACTATGGTTACCTTTCTGGCAGTTAGTGTCATGCTGTTTTGAACTTGATTTTCATTGAATATATTGACCTAAAGATGTTTGCTTTTGTATTTTGTAAGTAAAATGATAGGCCAAAGTTGAAAAGTACTATCTTGCATTCACCAGAAAGTTGACATTGTTGCATCAATCATCTAGTCAGTATGTTAATTTATTAATGTTGAGCGTTTGCATTATATTTAGATTTTATAATGGAACCTGCGCAATACCTGAATTGTGTGTTTACCTCCAAGTGTATGTGTATTTGCACATGCATGTACAGTTCCAACTACATCCATGAAAGGTGGAGCAATGGACAGAGTGAAAAAGATCTAAGCACTTATAATTGGTCACAGTAGAGCAACGACAGTTAGGGGCAGTTAGAGTGGTTAGTTAGTTGAAGGGGGTCAATTGGATAAATATGGAGAATAAAGATGGAAGGATTCACTCAAACAATTAGACATTTGTATGAAAAAGAAACTTGCGAAGAAAGATTCTTTCACCTGGTGTTGGATTCAATAAAATTGTTTGCATATATGCTTTTTCTTTTCTGTCAATTTCTCTTTTTTCTTCCTGCATTTGTAATAGGATTGGAGAACTTGAATTCGTGCTTTATTAAATTTTAGTTTTAGTAATTTGGTTTTTATTGATGAACCCAAACAATCCCAAAATCCCGAACTCTAGAAACATATTTATCTAAATTGTATTAATTTGAATGCGATAAGGATATGAATACATGCATACTAACCTGTGTTCTATTTTAGAACGAAATGCCAAGCTTTCAAATTTAACGAACTGGAGTTGTGCTTTGGGCTATGGTGTTGGATCAGGCAGCCCATTGTGTCCATCCTTCAATTTCAACCTCGAGCTTGTCAAAAGCTCTCAGGTTTGTCCACATACATAAATTGGTTATGTTTTGGCATTTAATTAATTCTTATGCTAATGTCATTTGATGGTAATATAATAGTTTGACATATTAAAATGGAAAGTTTTGTGACTTGTAAGAAATTGATGTTTAAAAATTTCCCTAATCATTAGTAACTTAGCATAAGTCTTAATTTTTGTTCTAAACCGCTTATATTAAATGCACCTTAGCATTTGTTTGTCCTAACCTATGATTTGTGTAGTTCTGATTGATATTTTGAGAAGCATTTGTACTGAAATTTCAAAGTCTAAATAATCTGCAGTTTATTGCCTCATTCTATCAACACATGGTTGTTCAAAGAAGGGTATGTTCTTCTGTCTTTGCTCTCTTTCATTCCATTATCTTCTGAGTGGTTCTCTGTCTTCATATTAGTGTCTCATTTTTCATTTTTGCAAACATGGTGATGTCTAGATTTATGGAAGTTAGTCGCATCTCTTAAAATTAAATTACATACTAATGGGTTTTCCTTGGTTTTCTAAAAAAGCTGTACATGTATCTGATCTTTTTAGTGCCGTACATGTAATTAATTTTCCCTTTTTCTTTACTAGTTTTCAAGAGTGAACGGTTAGCCTTGGGATACCAACAGTACTTAAGTTTTCTTAAGTTTCTGAGTTGAGGTCACTGCATGAAAAGTTTTTTGAATCAGAAGCTTCTTTACTCAAGACCTGGGCCTATTTTTAGTTATATTTAGGATACATTTTCCTTGTGATTAGATACTGTAATGCTTATAGAATTCCATTATTACTTATTTATTCTTGTTAAAATTTACCCTCACTCGAGTTTTCTTTTGGAGTTGTAGTAAACTGGCTGATATAGTTTCTTGTTAAATCAATATATTATACTGAAAGTCATAAGCATGATTTGAACAGGTGAAGAACCCTCTTGAAGAGAATTCTGTTGTTGGAATTACAAACTACCTTGACTTTGGGTTTGAGTTACTTACAAGGTATTCTTTTTAGCTCTAAACAGATATATTCAAACTTATTGCAGTCGAACCAATGTGGTACAATCTAATTTTCTGTGTCAGTGTTGATGAAGCCATAGCAGCAAACAATATCTCAGACGCCAGCTTTCAAATAGGTGCATCCTGGCAGGCTAATAAAAATTTCTTGCTGAAGGTAGAAAACAGATGCAATGTTAAGCAGATTTATATAGATTATATATGATGCATCTAAGTGGATTATTTCTCATCTTTTCAGGCAAAGGTTGGACCTCGTAGCTCATCTATGGCACTTGCATTCAAGTCATGGTGGAAACCTTCCTTCACTCTCAGTATTTCAGGTGTCTTGACTGATTGTTCTACTCAATCTTGCTTCAGTTCTTTATCCTGCTCCTTTCTTTAGTGCTACCGGGACTTTGTGTGTATTATGAGGCCAACACCTATGTAGTCATGATATGATGATCAAGGGTCAACACCAATATCTAGCATAAAAATTAAGTTTTATATCATGATTCTGCTTTTTTAGTTTTGGTCACCGAAAGTTCTAGTCCTACTTCAGCCCCTGTCCCATATTAAAGTATCAAGTTCGTTAGATGGCCTGTTTCCCACTGCAAGATTTGTTTATGTGATGTATTATTTTTTGGATGACTAGTGAGTACTACCTCTGTAATATCATTTTTTAGGTATCTGCATGCTAGGGTTGTCAAAACGAGCAGCTTGACCCAGCTCTAGGGCCAACTAAATAAATTTAATAATCCAACCTAACTGTTAGAATATTTACCCTATTTATCATGATTATATTGTGTCTAGGATTACCTTATTTATCATGATTATAGTGTCTAAGGTTATCCTATTTATCATGATTACATTGTGTCTAGAGTTACCTTATTTATCATGATTATATTGTGTCTAGAATTACCTTATTTATCATGTTGTATCTAATAAGGTTACCCTAATTATCATGTACTCTTGTATCAATTTATTTTTATAAATAGAAGATTATGAGAGGGATCAATTAAGCCCTCAAGAATTATTTCTTTTCAATCTCAAGTCTAACCTATATTTTAAAACAAACCATATATTTTAGCCTCGCCTGATCCTATGTTGGGACCGTGATCCTGTGTTGGGACCGCCAGGGGCCATTTTGCAAAAAGAAATCTGCAAGTAAAGTCTGATTGTATGTGGTAGATTTAATTAAATTTAAATGTAAATGGTATACCAAGATTATAATTAGTATCTCAGTTAAGGAATGAAGTGTCTTTCAGACTTTTTTTTGGGAGAGTGGGTTGGGGGTTGATTCTAAATAAAGTACGATCAATGATCCTGGTACTGGCTGATTGAAGTGCTGAGAATGTCTTGTTATTCTGTATGTAGCCACTAGAGATCGTGGTGATGGTAAAATGCAATACGGATTTGGCATCCAAAGTGAGAGCCTCAGAGAAGCCAGGTTCGTTTCATTTATCTTATATGTCTTATTCAATAAAGTATATGCTTCTATGAAATGAATCCCTACCTATGCTACTGCATGATAAAATATTATTGTATCATTCAGCTTTACCTTTCTTTTTTATAATGAGATGGTGGAATAGAATCAATGTACTCTTTCAAAATTTGTATCTTACACTGGTTAATTTTCACCTTCGCTTTTGCTTGTTTACAGTTATCAAAGAGCTGATCCCAATTTTGTAATGCTCACGCCAAGCAAGGAGCACTTAGCAGAGGGCATTGTCTGGGAAACAGGAAAGCGACCTATGTTTCAATCTGACATAGACGCTGGACATTTTGACGGCTTACCTAAAGAATTACGACCTTTTGATAAAATTTTGTAATATCTTGTTAGCTTTATATTTTTTTCTATTGCGGCTAAGGGCACCATTCTTATTTAGGAGTGGCCAGTGGAATTGCTTTCATGAGAATTAGTGTAGAACAGTGCGTCCAATCATTGACTATAATATCTACCAAATGCATAATTTTTTTATGATACATCTGCTTTCGATTTTGGGCCTCTTCATGCATGCATCCCAAAAATATCAACCCTCACCTTTTATAATGGAAAGGTTAATCTAGAATGAAAGTTTCACATTTCTAATTTACCTTTCCATAATCAAAGAGTATGTTGGCTGAGATTTTTCCGGATAGAGGAGGAAGATGCCACTGCTGTATTATAAACTGTCTGTGATTGCCAAGTTGTTAAGGAGTTAATCTGTTATTCAAATGGGTTGCCTTAAGAAGGAAGAAGACCTTTCATTTTGCAATCCCATTTTTATTCTTCACAATTCTCCCTCTTTCCCTTCTTATCGGCAACCCATTGCTCCTCTCCATTTTCTTTTCCCTCCCCTGCAGCCTTCTCTTTCACTAGCGTTTCCTTCACCCAAGTCATCTCCTTTAAATTATACATTTTTTCACATGTTGCAGACAGTACGCAAACCAGTTTATAGTTTGTTTATGTAATTATGTTTTAATGCATCATAGAAACATAATGTAGTTAATGTTTTAACATAATGTAGTTTTGTTTTAACATAATGTAGTTTTGTTTTAATAGATTATGAATACTATTTTCTGTAATGTAGTGAAATATAATTATCTTAAGGAAACTAGTTTCTATAATGTAATTAAGAGTGGTACGTTGCAATTTTTTAGACTAGTTTTCAGAAGAGTACTTGTCAAAAGAAAGTATTAAAATAAACGGGTAAGGGAGTAAAGACTACATAAATGCCTACAGAGGTTGCTTTTAAGTTTTGAACCGCTTTGCTTGAAAAGTCTCGGGGCTTTTACCTTTTTGTAAATCCGTAATTTCACTGCATCTGTACAGAATGACAAGTTTTATTTTAAAATTTGATAATTTTGGGAAGTTGTTATGAAGAATGCATTAAAATAAATTTCAGACTATATATTTTCGAAAAATTATATTCTTAAATTTTCAGATATTACTTTAAAATATTTTACATTTTTCATTTAGAAACGTTTTATTATTATTGTAAAAAAAAAGTTCTGAAAGATTTTAGGATTTTTTTTCCAAATGTTTTTTCTCTACAATTATATTTGCAAAATGTCAATTTTTTTATAAATAAAAATTTATTACTTTATAAATATCATTTGGGAAAGAATATTTTAGAATAAATTTTAGTTTGTTTAAAAAATATCATTCTGAAAATTCTTACTATGAACTACTTTGAAAACAAAATATTAACGAATACGTAAAAATTAATTTCAAATTATATAGGACTTTTAAAGGTCAATTTTATCACTGCGGGGAAAGGAAGAAACAGAAAAATAAAGAAATTGTTGAGATCTAAAACATAAATCTCCTTGATTAGAAAAGGGAAAGAAAAAGTCTCAGTTCTCGTTCAAACAATCTCCAAAATGTTTGTTCTGGTTTTGTAATAATCTATCTATATATATATATATATATCAAGTTTACAAGTACTTTCAGAATTAAAAAAAAAACTTTACAAGTATACTTTTTTAAAAAAGTTATTTTATTTAACCTAAGAACATCTATATCCTAGCAATATTGATTGTTTCAATAATTTTCAATATATAAGATGTAATGCAGTTAGAATGACAATAACAAATGTTCAATAACTATTGAAGTTGTGTTTTAGCAAGGGAAGAATAATTTTATGCATGCTTTTGTTTTATGTAATAAAACAAGATCCACTTAACAATCATAACATGTGAGGCAAGAATAACTAATTTCAAAATTAATCTTAATTTTCAAAAGTTGTATAATTTTTCAAACAAATTTCATTATTGATCCACAATATTTAGCTAAATAATAATAAATTGTTATTTAACCGAAGCTCCTTCACACGTTGACAACAGTAGACCAGACCCAAACTGATCCAACCATTTAGCATAAACAGAGACCATTCCTCTGTCCAAGCAAAAACCATGGCCACTTGTTCACTCATTTCCACACGCTTCCATTCTCCTTCTTCTTCACTCTTTCGTTCTTCAACCATCAAACCCACCACAACAATTCACCTTTCCAAAACCCTTCATCTTCACACTCCCAACCTTTTCCTCCTTCGCCTCCCACCACCAAAACTCACAATACCCCTTTTACCCAAACTCTCCATTCCCAAACCTCTTCTCCTTCTCTGCACTTCCCTCGCCCTCTCCTTCACTCTCCTCGTTTCCAACGCCGACTCCGCCGCCGCCTTCGTCGTCACCTCGCCGCGGAAGCTCCAGTCCGACGAACTCGCCACCGTTCGCCTCTTCCAAGAGAACACTCCCTCTGTTGTCTACATAACCAACCTTGCTGTCAAGTAGCTACCCCTTTTATCGATCCTCTTCAAAAATTGTCTTTGAATGGTTTTTCGTTGACCCTTTTGCTTTGTCTTTGGGTTTCTCAACGTGGGGTGTTGTGTTTAGGCAGGATGCATTCACGCTGGACGTCTTGGAGGTTCCCCAGGGATCCGGGTCTGGCTTTGTTTGGGATAAGGATGGTCATATTGTGACCAATTATCACGTTATTCGTGGTGCCTCTGATCTCAAGTGGGTATTCTTTTTCTTTTGATTATTTTGTTTTTTTTATTAGTGGTCAATGTATAGATTTTTTTTTTTTCAATTTCAACTAATGAAAAATCGTCCTAGAGGTATTTCGAGCGTTAATCAATTTTACTAAATTTAAGAAATTGTAATTGGATAACAGGGAAGGAATAACTTTTACTAAATATGAGAGTTTGTTATGTATGTATTGTCAATGTATTCGTTTTTACAATTTTAACTAAATAGGAATCATCCTAAATACGGTCTTTAAAGTAATTAACTAATCTTACTGTATATGAGAATTTGTAATTGGATGACAGAGTAAGAATAAACTTTACAATGTCTTTGTTTTCTAATGAAATTCTTTTTTTTTTGGGTTAATTTTCTTGCACGGTTAGTGTAAAGATTTTTACACTTTTAGCCAATAAAAAGTCATTCTAGATGTCATTTTAAAAATAGTTATGACAAAGGGCAACAATCTTACCATATACATGGGAATTCTTTTTTATCCTATCAGTGTATTTTAATTAAATTCTTTTTACTTTTGGCATCTTTTGATCCAGTTTCTCAGGCTTGTACCTTTTCTTTTCCGCCGCTGCTAGTCTGGTCTTGACCTTTGAGTGGTATTACGCTGACAAATAGGAACTTTTTAGTTATGCGGCCAAATATTTTAATATTATGTGCAATGTGACATATATCTATTGCTAAACGAATTATATTCCTAAATATGAAACTTTGATAACTAATTCACAATTATTAAGAAAGTTGGTTAATTTAGGTAGTGACATTAAGTTGGCATTAATTAAGTTTTTTCAAACTTTCTCTTGAACAATTAATCAATTGAGAGAGAGTGAAGCCTTAAATTACGAAATTAACCCTCCAATTCTTCTATCTTGATAAGAGAGAAGTAGACAATTCATAACATTTATTATTTATTTATGAACAAAATTTTTAAGGATATTATGGTAAAACAATAATTGATGCTTGGGATGATTAGAAAACGACAGAGAAATTTCAAAACAATTTGTTGTAATCAGGGACCGAGGGTGTATAAGTAACCTTGTATTAAAACAAAAGGGAGGTGATAATTGTGTGTTACTTTGTACATTTACACCTCCTTCAACACGTTTGGGTGTGTTTGCATTGCAACTTTTCCTGGCATTGAGAAGTGAATTCATAACATAGAAAGTTTGCTGATAGATTGATGTATGTGTTGTGATGACTTCAGTGAAGTGATTACTCCTATTCAAAGACATGCTAGTTATGTGCAGGGTCACTCTAGCTGACCAGTCAACTTATGATGCCAAAGTTGTTGGTTTTGACCAAGACAAGGATGTTGCTGTGCTGCGTGTCGAGGCACCAAGTGACAAGCTCAGGCCTATACCTATTGGGGTCTCTGCTGACTTGCTTGTTGGTCAGAAGGTTTATGCCATTGGGAACCCGGTGCGTTGTCCATACCGATCAATGCATATTGTGTTGTAAATATTCATTATCTATGAATTTTCCAATATAAAGAAATGATGGCAATCCTGGTTGAATCTAATATTAATTGGAGCTTTAGCTAGAATTTTTATAAGCAGGTGGATTTTGTTCTACTTAAATCATACTTTTAACATTTGTCTCATTTAATCTATTATGTAGTTTGTATAATTATATAATTATTTAGTCAGCATTTCCTGCTCCAGTTGTAAATGTGTATGCAAAATATCATGTTAAAAAATGCATTGGAGATCTGAGTTATGAATGCCTGTGATGTAAAGGCAGACTTGTTTTCGAAAGATAAGAAGAAAATTACTAAATTTGTAAATTGTACCTTGTAATTGCTGCCAAACTGCTTTATGGAGCTGTATTCATGGCTCAAATGCTATTTTCTGTTGATGATTGACACCACGAACTCTTCTTGAATATGCCAATATGATTCCTCATTCTCATCTTGCAGTTTGGACTAGATCACACACTCACAACAGGGGTCATCAGGTATGAAAACTTAAAACTGTGAAGTGAATATTTTGATGTAACTCCCATTACCTAGAAAAACAGTTTCTACTTTGCTATTCCTTTTTATTTCCTCGTGCCAGATTATACATTTGTGAATCAAACCTTTTATATTAAGGAGTCTAGAAGTGGGATGCCATTAATCCCTTTCAAGAATAAATGCGTTATAGTTAATACAACATCTTCCCATCTCTTTCCCTCGAAATCTCAACTTTTTAAGCATGGTATTCTTTAGGTTAATACTGTTTTTCAAATGTTCACATCATTGTGCTGATACTTGATAACTTGAAAGGTGGATACTGTCTTTCCTTTTTGTTTCTTTTGTGTTGATTGTGTTTCACTGATACATACGTCTTCAACAGTGGTCTTAGGCGAGAAATTAGTTCTGCTGCAACCGGTCGTCCAATTCAAGATGTTATACAGACAGATGCAGCAATTAATCCTGGTAACAGCGGAGGGCCTCTCTTAGATAGTTCTGGAAACCTCATTGGGATAAATACAGCCATATATTCTCCATCTGGCGCATCCTCTGGTGTTGGATTTTCTATTCCAGTGGACACTGTGAGTTCTTACTTTGACTTGTTTTTAATTTATATATCCAATTATTTCTTCAGGGGACAACTTTTTATGGAAACATAGTAATCCTCTGAATAAAATTGCTAATGTGCTTGTTGTTCTATATATTCAGGTAAATGGTATTGTTGACCAATTGGTGAAGTTTGGGAAGGTTACAAGACCTATTTTAGGGATTAAGTTTGCTCCAGATCAGTCTGTGGAGCAGTTGGGTGTAAGTGGAGTGCTTGTGTTAGATGCTCCTGCCAATGGTCCTGCTGGGAAAGCAGTAAGTTTGATCAAAGATTATTTTTATACGAAAGGGGAAATTCATTACGAAATTTCAGCTATATGCGCCGAATAGGGGCATAGATTTCATGTTAATATAAACTTGGCCTCTTTACTTCCACTAAAGCTAGTCACTAAAAATGTTAGTGCCACTAACACGTCCTAAGCTTCATTATCACATATTAAAACTAATATTGATTTGCTTTATCTTAATTTACTAAACTACAATCTTTCAATGGAGCCTGGCTAATTTATAGTTTTCAGGGCCTGCAATCAACAAAGCGTGACTCGTATGGTAGACTCATTTTAGGTGACATCATAACGTCTGTGAATGACAAGAAGGTTACTAATGGAAGTGATTTGTACAGAATTCTTGACCAGTGTAAAGTAGGTGAAAAGGTATGATGCTGATTCAACTGTGCTATTGTTTCTTTAAAAATGTATAACTTTTCTATTTTCAAAACTATTACTAGATCCTGGATTTCTAAAGCAAATAAAAATATGATGCAAGAACATTTATATATTTACCTTCAATGTGCGTTTAAGCATATGTTTGACATGGCAGCATATTTATTGTTATTCTTAATCCATGTAAAAAAACCTTAAATTATAGTCACGGAGGTAGTATATAGAGGTAGTATATAATATACCCTTTTAATATTTGGTCAGTCTGGAAAGATTCAAATCAAAACATCGTATTCTCTCTTGTCTGTACAAACTTTTATCGTAACATGTGTATCATAATAACATGTAAGTTCGTCTGAATAGTAATAATCAACAGAAAAATGAAAATCTTAGAAGAATGGAACAAAAGGGCTATCTAGTTTTATGGCTGTTTAAGACTGTTCTGTCTCACTAACCACAGTCAAAGCTAATTTTAACAGGTTCAGATTTTAGAAATTAGACCAAGTTGTTTCAAGGATGAGTTTGGATTATACTTCAATCATCCCAAACCTGACTGATGCACATATTCTGAATATACTTTTTTTAACCAATATTAGTCATAATACTTCTTGACTTATGTTTTATGAATTTGATTAGAATGCACTACAGTGTAAAGGTTCTTCATACTGTTATCAATCACATCTTGTTATGGAATATAAATCTGTTTACTTATATAATAACTATTTTTAAAGATCATATTTGGGATAGTATTTTATTGACTAACAGTAAAAAATATTTATTAATAGTTCATAGAAATTCAACGCATATATCAGGTCATACTTTAATTTTACGATTTACCTACTTATAATGTTAAAAGTGTGATATATTATGTCTCAACAGAAAGTCCTGACTCGGTCCTCTTCCATACATCACTGAATCTTGAGTCTTGTTCAGAACAAATTCTAATCAAATGACCTTATCGAAAGTTCATGCTGAGTGGGATACCCAAGGGAAATCCAGCGTATAAGACCTATGTATTTTCTTAATCTGTTTTTAAACTTGGTGTTGAATTGCCTCTATGTAAAACATCTCACCCTGTGCTAAATAACTTGCATTGAGAGACTCAATTTGAAGCTACTTTATTTTCCTAGTTTAATGGTTAATGGTGTTGCTATTCAGGTGATTGTTGAGGTTTTGAGAGGTGATCACAAGGAGAAGATCCCTGTCATTCTGGAGCCAAAACCTGATGAATCATGATCACAAGGATTATGTATATATACAATTCACATGCCATTACCAGAGAGTGAATGAAGCTGTTTTATGGGTATTCTTTAGTTGTTGTATCTTGCTTCATAAACAGCTCCAATTGTACATATATATATATATATATATACATACTATGGAACTGAAAGCTCATCATCCTTTAACTTTTTCACTCTTAAACATAATATAATTTGGCAGTTCTATTTTGCCCCCATACAATTTCATACAAGGGGTATGCTCATTGTGTCACATTTTATTCTCTTTGCTGAAATGGTTTTGTTCCTTTTATCATCTTTTTTCATACAAGTAAACATGATTTTAATTTCCCACAATTTAAAAAGAAAATTATCCGCCTCTCAAACTTCATTATAGATTTAGTCTCAAAAACCAAAATTTAAGGTACTGAAATAATTTTAGTTTCTAAACAATAAATTTAAGTAGAGGTGACAAACAATACAGATTGAATAAATTTTATTTTGAATTATTATAATGTATCAGATAAAATAAATTCATTAGTTTATTCTTTAAAAGATTAAGGAAAAGTCTGATCCAAATGGATCTATTTAATAAAGTTCAATATAATCCATTATGTTCATAAACCATTAGTTTCCTTCTTTGAACTAGTCCATCTCAGAAAATCTGGTCGAGGTTTAATAGGGACCACACAGCTGCAAAATATTAATTTAGTGGCTTTTTTCCACCCAACATTGTCTACACTGTATGACACTGTATATATACGATCTAGGTGACTAGAGTTCTTGAAATCATTGGCAAATTGTAGTACATTGGAAGTGTAACATATATCCTACAACAGTTTTGGAAGTGGTTTGTTAAGTTTCTGGAGAAATTTATCCATCCACTTGGTCAATAGTATCAAGATTGATGTTTCTGCATTATGTTATCTTTCATCACTCAGTTCACTTATGATTTAAAGTCAAACAATCATTAAGGCTAGTGTGTGATTTTGTTACAGCAAGAGTTCTATAAACCATTAATTAATACCAGATTTTAGGCAAACAAGTACAATGGCATTCAAGAACTCTATTGGTTGCTTCTCTTTTAAACTCTTGAATAAATGTTTCTTTGAATTCTTATAAGAAGACATACCTATGAAATCTTTTAAGATATCTAAATTTGCACAACTTTTATGGAAATTTCATCTGAATGACAATATTTTACAGATTTTGAACACCTCACTTGTAGCAAAACATTAACAAGCTACAACAGAATAACGTGGCACTAAGAGAATCTTACCCATAACTTTTCACGTTTTAAGATTGGACTTTACCAAAAAAATTTAATAGGATGAATGCCATCAGAGTTAACAAAAACTAGAAGAGCATTTCTCATTAAGATAAATGCAAAAATGACTTAATTATCTACATATGTAGATTTGTAATTCTGCTTCTTCTGCCAAATTTCAATAGCAGTTCGGTTAACAATATCACTCTTTTTTCCTTCGGTTTTTCTTTTAGTTTCAAAATTACCACTCGTATAATTATTGTTATCCTTCTCCTACTCAACAACATAACAACAACATAAGAAAACTGAAATTTCATTATGCTTAATTGCATATGCTGTTGGCTTCAGCTCTTATCCGATTAACTGCTAATGTAATTACAATTTCACTTTCTGCCATTTTGTTATGTTCCTCAAAATTTCAAAACCAGAGTTGTTGACACTTGAATAATCAAAACTTATTAGATAAAACATCTATTCTGTGATGTACTCTGATAGAGTTAATTTATCACCAGGTTGCAAATTTGTTTAATGATTTTGGAATTATATACTCATAAGAATACATAATTTCATTCTTCAAGAGTTCAAGTTACACACATCATATACTTGTTGGATGTAATGCTCAGTCTAAACGCTGTTTGTTTCCCATGATTTTCCAAATTTCAATGCAGAGCATCAAAATGCTTTCGAACTAAATCCATAGAAATTCACCTTACCATATATTTGTTGGAATTCATAAACTTGTCTTTAATATTTATTCAGGGGTAAATATCAGAAAATTCTTTCTAAATTTAGTTTGAGACATGAAATTGATAAGGTAAAATTATAAAAACTTCCATACGAAACTTCCAAGTCAATGAGCAAAACAGAAAAAGCTCATGGGCCATGATAAAAAGTGGCCTGTAACATTACAAGTTGTTGAAGTGACTGCAAAGGTTTGACAAAGACTTTGGATCAATCTCTCTAGATTATTAATTTATATAAAGTTATCATTCATGATTTCCGTTAGCTACCAACTTTTTTTTAAATTATAGTTGAGTGAATTACATAAAAACACTTGTTCAAAAAAAAAATTCACACAAAACCTTTGGTACTGTCTAACAGTGCTAAATGTTACTTCTTTTGTCTTCAAAATTACAGTAGTTTTATTTTCCAAAGATTTCAAACTAACTGAAGTTCGTATTAATTTTAGTTGTAATTATAATTTGCTCAGATACACAATGTTAATATTTGCATCATGCAGTCTATAAGAGTAATGTATTTATTGAGAAAAGGATGTTATTTTAAGAAGTGACATATATATTCTTGTTTTAGTTGTATATTAAAAACTTTAAACTGAAGCTATTTTATAACAGAGAGAATAGTGTAATTAACTAAGATTGATTTCTGTCACCTCTCATGATTTTGTGCATATAGAAAGATGAAGGTTGAACAAAGAAGATTTTGTTACACAAGAGGATTTCCAACTCTTGTTAAAAGAAGATTTTCCGACATGCATAAACGCAGTTCATAGTTTCATATATATATTTATAAAATATCATATGATAAAGGTGGCTAGGCCTCTTCATTGCAGACACACGACCTCTAAGCATGGCCTATAGCTTCCAATGCAGAATGGTGGCCACATCTTTAACCTAACAAAGAAGAAAAATGCAGTGGTGAAAGACCATAAAACATTACATTTTTCTTACTTGAAGAACTTCAATTTGGAGAGAGAAGGAGAGAGAGAGAGTGATCTATGGATAATCTCAATGCAGCTTTTATTAGGAAATTCAGCACATGCACGTTATATATAACAAGGGCAATTACAGAGTACATTTTAGATAGGAGAATACTTAGGGAACCAAGATGAGGTCATTGATAATGGTTGATGTTCATACGGAGAAAGAGGATGCAAGGCCAAAGTTAAGGCTCCAGAGCTCAAAAGATCCCTTAACAAAGTCATAGTATCCTCCTTTCAGAGCCAATGTTTTGTTCACCAAGCCATCTCTCACAAATGGGTAGGTTAGCAGGTTTCCAAGGGAAACATTAACAGCTTCCTGCACATCATTCCAATTTAACTTGTAAGCATCACCTACATCACTTTAGTTTGCTTCTAAATCATGAATTTAGTAGTGTTGTCTTCAAAATACATTGATTGATATTGATTTTGATGTCTTAAAATATATTATAAAGATTTTTAAAGTACCAACAACAGTATATTATTAATGTTCAGCAGAGGACAGCACCAAAAAACCCAGTAGAGAATCTGAACTGCTAAACCATTTCACTTTAATTTGAATAATCAAGATTTATACTGAAGGCTAACATAGATAAATGAAGTTAAATTTTAATTCTGACTGAAGAATGTATAGTACTAAAAAACACTTATTGAACTACATATAAGTTTTGTCCTTATATGTACAAGTTAATTCAATGAGTTTTATGAAAATATTTATCAACCATGTGGCTTGCATTAATGTTCCTTACCTTCTCACAGTGTGTGCACAACTCAGCAAAAGGTGCATCCCCATGCTGTGTCTTCACCTTTGCCTTTGCAGGTAAGCCAACTTTGACCCACTCCTCAATAAAATCACTGAATACAACAAATCAAAAGTAATTTTTCTTATGGATTCATGTGAGACTTTTTGTAAATTAAATAAATGTACAGAAAGGTAAACATAAAATTTTCATATAATATTATAAGTTTTGAAACCATCTTATTTTGGTTTTCAAGTTTAACTTAACTTCAGAAATTAATTCATAGGATGAGATTTTGTCTTTGTTTACATACACTGTTTAATGAGGAATGTTGAATGTCATGATGGTCTAGGAATTAAGAAGTAGGTGAAATTTGTGCATCAAATTATAATTGAGAAAGTGTAATTTTTATGCAGAGAAAAATGGCTTACGTAGAGTAGGTTCCATCAAAAGGGAAAGATAAAAGCCCCTTGATACCACCACAAGCACTGTGTCCAATGACCACAATGTTGGACACCTGTAGAAAAATCATATGGATTAAAAATTCTTGACATTTTCTCACCATTATTAATTTTCATATTAGTAACACACAGAGAGAACACTGTGCCTGAAATTCTGTGCATGTCATTTATCTTCCAATGATTGATAACATACCTTGAGATGCAAAACAGCATACTCAATGGCTGCCCCAGTTCCAGAGTATTTTGACTGGTGCACAGCAGAGTAAAACAAAGTAAGTTTGAGCACTTTTGTGTTAAGACATGTCAATAGGAGTTTGAGTAATAGTAAGATGATACACGTTTACGTTCATTTGACACACCTAACACGCGTAAAATAGTCATAATAGAATGAATTTTTGTAGTTTTTCGAAAAGGAAAAAAGTAAAAGGTAAGAAAAAGTAGTGTCAAATGAATGTAAAAAAATTATGTGTCAAAAGTATCGTTTTTACAGGAATTTCTTTTGCTGTGTTGGAAACATGCCTGGTCATATGGTGGGACAATGTTGGCAACATTTCTGACCACAAAAGCCTCTCCAGGTTGGAAATCTAGCACATGGGAGGGGCAAACTCTTGAGTCTGAGCAAGCAAACACCATAAACTGAAAAAACAAACACATAAAGTAGAAAATATTAGTTAGTCCACAACTTTTTTATTTTGTAACAAATAATGAATCACATTAAATAGAGTTAAGTTAGCTTGAATTCACTTATATATTAAAGTCCATCTATGTGCAATCTTTTTACTTATGTTTAAATATAGTATATAATGAGTTGGTTGACTTTAAAAACAAC